CCGGAAAAGGGCGCTTTTTCCGGAGGATCGGGGCCAGTCTAGACGCTCTTTTCCGGCTTTTTTAAAAGCCGGAAAAAAGCGGCGGACATTTTTATTTAAATGCCGCGGGGGATATTTAAATCCCCCGCGGATTTCCCTACGACGACTCATGAAATTTACATGCCCCTTCCGGAAAAGGGGCCAGTGTAGACGTAGCCTTAATGTCTAGCTGTCACCAGTACTTTCACAGGAAGTGGAGTGTAAGAGAAAAAAACCATTACTGGATTGTGATAAGTGTATGGGTGTAGAAAAAGTGTTGCTCAATACAGAATTGCAGCTTTGCAGTCATGAATGATGATATGAGGGAGGGCGAGAGTAGGTGCATGGTTACTGGCAAGAGAGAACTGCATAGGAAGCCTCTGGTTATGGTCTCTATTATTCATCACAATTATACTCCTCATGATGTCATTTTGGTTCTTCCTGAGCTGTAGCATGCGCTCAGTGATCGCTTGTCTCTGCTCCCTCTTCCCATCTCCTTTTCACTCTCTCTGCTCCTTGCCCCTATCTCTTTGTTCCCTTTCTGTAGCTCATCTCTGTTCTCTTTAGTGCTCTTTTTTCCTGTGACTGACTTGTTGAGTGACCCAACAAATCTTTCACCAGATCACCATCCGTCTTTTGCTTGTTTTTTCTCAGTTGCCATATACACTCTGATGTTGTACAAGATGGCTGAGTTCTCAAGTTCTAGTCTGCAAAAGTAACCATTAACAGAGTGACTGTAATTTTCATGGTAAAGATAGTGAAATGTAACAAACATTCATGCACCTGAAGAAAGCCTCTAGGCTAATCCAACAAAGTGGGAAGTTAACACAGATCTCTGCAGACACTGTGATCATGGTGACTTTGGGGAAAAGGGTTGCTTATGACTCACCAAGAAAGTATAGACCATGGTTGTGCAGTAGTCATACAAGGACATTATTTTTGATAATCCTACACTTGTCTGCCAGCTGCAGTCACTCTTGCTGATATAGACCTGCGGAAGATTAACTAGCAATCATGAGCTGAGCTTTTGCAGGTGAGTGGAGGGCTCCCTAGTCCTTATGCAGCCAAATAGGATGCTGCCTTGATTCCAGCAGCACACATGGAGAACTGATTTGGGAAAGTGTCATACAAGTGGGGTGGGGCAATGTCAGGCCTGCTATGCAATCTCCGTGACAAAATTAATAAGTACATCAGGCGAACCTTAGACACCATTTCTCAGCAAGATTCTATTGCTATCTGTAGGGACAGGTTTTTAAACCACTGTAGAAATAGCCAGTAGCTCTTTGATATATAGGTAAGACCATAAATTATGGTCTCTGACTAAGCTTTCCCTCAGAGGCCTGCTGCTCAGTTAGAACAGACACAAGGCCAAAACAGATAACAGGAAGCTCTAAAAAAGCAGGATGATACAGAAAACACCCTGTCTGTTTATCCCAAATGAAAGCAGTATAACACTAGGTGGATAATCATAACTAAGCACCCTTATCATGAGTATCACATACACATACAAGGTTAGAACCCTGAAAAAGGCCTCATAGTCTGCCATCCAGAGAGACAACAGCCGCCAAAGCCAACCATGAATCCAGAAAAGGCTGTAAAATGACACTCCCACTAAGGATTCAAATGTGTAAATCTACCAGGCAGGTTATGTACAAGATAGAGACTGTAGGTTTGTTCTTAAGTTGAATTTGTATGTAAGTCGGAACTGGTACATATTGTAGGGGAAACTCTAGCCAAACATTTTTTTTAGTTTTGGATAGCATAGGGAAGGGTTAACTCCCCTCTAATGTTTGTTTTGCTGTCTGTTCCCCTGTTCAGAAGATTCACATCACTTTCGGTCCATGACAATTGGATTCTGAATATTTTGGGTTGTCTTGGAAAGAAAGATTGGCAATAAAGCTTCAGTGGAGACACCTTTTTCCCATGATAACTCTTACAGGAGTGAATTTCCCTTCCTGGGGTAGATTTCCCCTCACTTCCTGTTGTCTCAAGGACAGGAAATGAGATTACAGGCAGTCCCCGGGTTACGTACAAGATAGAGACTGTAGGTTTGTTCTTAAGTTGAATTTGTATGTAAGTCGGAACTGGTACATATTGTAGGGGAAACTCTAGCCAAACATTTTTTTTAGTTTTGGATAGCATAGGGAAAGGTTAACTCCCCTCTAATGTTTGTTTTGCTGTCTGTTCCCCTGTTCAGAAGATTTCACATCTATTTCTGTCCCTGTGACAAACTCAGGACTAAAAGAGTAACTCATCAAATACCAAACAGCTCTGCACCATGCTTTGAGCTAATAGCTTTATTTCCACACACCACCCAGGGTTCTAGGAGGAGGGTCCTTTTTTTGCTAACACAATGAGGCCAGCACTTTGTTTGTTTTGGTGGAGTCTTTGTTTGCCCAGGGAGCCCAGCATGTATAGGGGGAGGAGGGGCGGAGAGGCTGCTTTTGTCTGCTGTTCGCCAGCCTGTTGCTCAGGGGAGGGGGCAGCCTGTTGCTGGCAGGGGGGGAGCGGGCGTGGGGAGGCACTTTTCCTCTGCCCGGCAGCTCTGCAGGATCCCTGTCCCTGTGGCCAGCTGCTGCAGGCAGAGGCCAGTTGGAGCCGGCCGAAGAGGAGGAGGAGGTGGATTCTAGGACCCAGGTGAGCGAGCCCCGGGGACGCTGCTGCTTTATTGTTTTCTGGTTTGGGAATCTGGAATTGAGCTCTGTGCTGTTAAAAATGTTTTTCTTTCTTTAAAAGTTTTTTTTCCTCCTCTTTTGTAATGAAGCTTTCTGACCCAGGGAATTTTCTCTATCAATTGGTGACTCTTACCATGTAGCCACCTCAACTATGCTTGCAACGGTAGTTTTGTTTTGATAATAAACGTTTTTCTTTTTCTTATTAACCGGTATTGGTTCATTTTTGTGTCCTGCGAGGTCTGTCTGTCTGACTAGGAGTCAGCTACCACAGACTGCAGCTTAAGCTTAAGCTTAAGCTTTCCTTTCCTTTCCTTTCTCTCTGGAGAAAAGAGCTTGAGGTACCCCTGAGGTTTTAGGGAGGAGGTTTCCCAAATGATCAAAAAAAAATTTGCATGGAGTTCTACTTTAAATGCAACTTGGACAGATGTTTGTCTTAACATATTCTTTATTTTTAACAGTGCATGTAAATGCTTAAACGTTTCAAATACTGTACTGTACTGTACAGTACAACCTTAAACAATCTTGGTAGAGGATGATGGACTTGTTGGAGAGGATGGGACTGGTATTAGAGAGTCAGAGTCAGATTCTGCTGCTGGAGTCAATTTCTTGAAGTAGGCATCAAGGGAGGTTTGTTTAGAGCTTTTTTTCCCCCTCATCATAAATAGCCCAGTAGCATCTCAGACCTTCGGTAACTGTGCGGTCAACTTTTTCAAACCTCTCTGTTTCAGGATCTTGCTCCTCTAACTTTGCCATTCCCGCTTCAATAAGTTGAAAAGCATCAGCTAACTCTTTTGTAGAAAATTTTTTCAATTGTGGAGTTTCTAGGTCCTGGTTTTCTTCCCTAGATTCTATCTGCTGCTCTAGTTCCATAAGGTCTTCATTGGTTAGTTCTTTGCCATGGGAGTCGAGTAACTCTATGATATCATTTTCAGTGATGTCCAACTGCAGTTCATTACCAATAGCAACCACAGCTTGCCTGGTTTCGGCGATTTCCTCATCTGTAAACCCCAGAAATTCTTCTGTGAATTGGGGGCACAATTTGTTCCAAACTCCTCTCATATTTGTCTCTTTCACTTCATCCCAAGCATCAGCAATATTGTTGATGGCATCATAAATGTTATAACTTTTCCAGAAATCCCTTAAGGTCATCTCATCCTTTTGGGTAGCCCTGACAGCTTGTGAGAATGTCCTCCTTAAATAATAGGCCTTAAAGGAGGCTATGTGAATTGGGGGCACAATTTGTTCCAAACTCCTCTCATATTTGTCTCTTTCACTTCATCCCAAGCATCAGCAATATTGTTGATGGCATCATAAATGTTATAACTTTTCCAGAAATCCCTTAAGGTCATCTCATCCTTTTGGGTAGCCCTGACAGCTTGTGAGAATGTCCTCCTTAAATAATAGGCCTTAAAGGAGGCTATGACTCCCTGATCCATTGGCTGAATTAGTGATGTGGTGTTGGGGGGTAGAAATACCACCTTTACATTGGGGTGCATGTCATCTAAAGTGTTTGGATGTCCAGGGGCATTGTCAAGGAGAAGGAGAATTTTGAAAGGAATGTTTTTGCCCAAGCAATAACGTTCAACAGCAAGGACAAAATGGTTCAAAAACCATTCTGCAAACATAGCAAATGTAACCCGAGCCTTTGAATTTGTCCTCCAAATAAC